GTGGTAGGTATTATTTTTCGACAAAAACGAGAATAACGCGAATACTATGCTATCGTTCTTTCGGAAATCGTAACAGCAAGACGCGCGAGACTCCGCACCTTAGAATGGCATCATAACCGTATTCATTTTCCATCTAATTCGGCAACAAAACCCAAAAGTTTATATTTGCCCCTTAAACAAATCATTGCATTTTGTTGCCACACAAGGCGTATACTTTGTTCAGTGGTAGACCTAATCGAAGGAGAGGAGAATGGCGCATCTAGTTGCAGTGAGTTCCGACCGACTGATAGCATAGCCATTGAGTTATTATCGGTTTTGTCGACAAAAGAATACCTACCAGTTACCACGCAGTCTGCTGAGGGCTGTACAGTACAGGGGTAACAACACAGCGTAATTAGCTAACTGAGTATGAGGGGGGGGGGGGAGGGTAACAAACCACACGTGTAAATCGTGCTAGGAAAGATTGCCGACTGATGCCGAAGCCCGAATACATTCTAATGGAAGGATCATATTTCTAGAAATGAAAAATAACACGACAAACGAACACAAAACAATATAATCGGGCAAACATTACAATGCAGAATCCTTTAAGACGGTGAATAGTTGGTGGGTAGTAAATCGCATCTGTTAGCGATACTAGCCACTAGCCAGAAATTGCATTCCGAATATCAAAACTTGACGGAATTCTCAAGAATTAAAGCAATTTTTAACCCGCGCACCGACGGGGGTCTGCGCCAACTTGGAATCGACGGGCGGAGGGCGGATATCCGCCCCCCCCCCCCGAGATCTCGAGAACGAAGCAGGATAGCGACAAGCGGCAAAGGGCATGTGGTACACACGAATAAGGTCTATAATTTTTACTGAGGTCATTTTCATGTCAGATCAAAAATGACGTCACAGGGGTCAAAAAGGTCAAAATAGCGGCGCTAACTATGAAGTTTTTTTTTCTCGAATAACTTTCAAAGTAGCTAAGCTAGGACCAAACTAATAGCATCATCGTGATCCTCTCATCGATCCACATCCAAACATATATATGCTGACCTCGGAAGGTCAAGGTCAAAGGTTGACCTGAGGTCACGTGACCTCAAGGTCATCATGAATATCATTCGACGCGCCTTGAGCAGCTGAACACAATGAGACCATCTGCGCGGCTGTATCTCGTTTCTGTAAGGAGTTATTCGCAAAAAACTGGTGACCTTTGATGACGTCACATGACCTTACAGCTGCCCAAGAGCAAAAAAGACCTCAAGGTAGTCAAACTTAATTGAATATGAAGTAATTTATGGTATATTAGGCCATTCCGACGCGCTTTAGAAAAAAAATCAGGCGATTGATTTTCCTCCAATTGACTTAAAATGTCAAGAAGGTCAAGGTCAAGGAGGTCAAGAAATTGACCTGACCTTAGGTCATCGTATCAAAATTCCGAGATATACAAATTGTAGATACCAATGACCTAATTATATCCTGTAGCTTTCAAAGGACTCCGTCATCTACTGTAGCTCTGACCAGTGGCGGCGGAAGGTAATTTTGGATGGGGGTGCAAAGTTTTCCTAAGGGGCCCCTCTGGAAGTTTTGGGCCCCCCTCCAGTTTTTTTTTTAGTGATTATTACTGATTCATGAAAAATGCAGATTTTGGAAAACTATCCCCATACACACAAGTTGTGTAAAAGGTTTGAAATTGCAGTGTATCTACTATCTACCTATCTCAAATAATGAAAGCATAAAGAAGCAAATGCAGTTAGTTGTTTATCGGTTAATCTTTTAGTCTAGCCACCACCCGCAGCGTCTCAAACCACTTTTCTGGATCCGCAGTGGACCACTGAGTGCCCTACGAGACCGTTCCAAGAAGACCGTGTTTAGAAGCCCCTTGGAAACCGACCACATAGAGACTCCTTCAGTCCAGAGACCTACATGACTCCCCAGACTGAATGAGCCCTCCGATCAGGGTCGGTCCCTTGAAAGTTGCTGAAAGGTTTCAGAAGGCAGTATAGGCTCGAAAGTCTTTTGAGGGCTCTCAGAAACCGGCATCGGACCCCAAAAAAGCCTGTATGGAGGCCCTCCAAGTCCAAAGCTGGGATGGAGGCCACAGGAGCCGATGTTTAGCCTAAAGAGCCGGCATGGAGGACTAAGTAGAGGAAATGGGTCTCAGTGGGGCCTTCGGGGGCAAGCGTTTGAGCCCCAAAAGTATGTGTGGGGTCTGAGAGGCATGTAAACCTCTGGGGTATGCACGGGGTCCCAGGAGCTCGCGTGTGAGCCCAAATATTCGGCTGGCGGCTACTAGAACCAGCACGGGGATTCTTAGAAGCCGCTTAGACCCACATTTCATGGGTCATGAGTCCCAAGAGTCGATGTAGGGGCTATAAAAGCCGGTGTAGGGCCCATGGCCCTATAAGTTCCGACATTGAGACTCTCAGAGGCCGGCAACGGGGCACCAAGAGCAGATAAAGTGCCTCAACAAGCCGACATGGGGCCTGAGAATCAGTGTGGAATTTCAGGAGCCTGCGTGAGCTCTCGGAGACCTTCGTATTTCGTAAGGTCCACAAAGGTCGTTGGATCCTCTGAATCTCTACTCTGTGGGGCCCTCAGAGGCCAGCATGTCTCCTGGCACCTGCCTGCGTTGAGTTGAGACCCTCTGAGGCCGTCGTAGGGTTCTTCAGAGGCCAGCGTTGGCCCTTGAAGCCTTCGTTAGGCCCTAGAAGCCGTCAAGAGGGCTCTCAGAGGTCAGCATGGCCCTGGAGCCTGCCTGCGTCAAGGCCCTCAGAGGCCGTCGTGGGGCCCTCAGACGCCAGCGTGGGCCTTTGGAGCTTGCGTTGGGTCTTAGAGACCATCGTGAGGGCCCAGAGAGGTCGTCGACAGGGCCCTCAGCCCCTCAGGGACCGTCCTGGAGTCCTCAGAAGTTGTGGTGAAGCCTTCGAGAGGATCATCAGAGGTCGTCATGAGGGTCCTTGACCATAGTGAGGGTCTTCATGGGCCCTCAGATACCTTTGCAGGGCTCTCAGACGCCTTGGTAAGACCGCTAGAGACCATCGTTGTTAGGGCCCTCAATAGACCGTTGTAGGGCCCTCAGATGCCAGCATAGCCCCTGCAGTCTGGCTGTGTTGGGGCCCTCAGAGGCCGTCGCTGGGCCGTCTGAAGCCAAATGGGCCCTCAGACTTGAGTTGGGTCTAGGGCCGTCACGAGGGCCCTCAGATACCGTCTTAGAGGCCCTCAAAGGCCAGTGGGGCCCCTGGAGTCCTGTGGGACCCTTAGCGGTCGTCATGAGGGCCCTTAGTGGTCGTGACGACCTCCCTCAGAGATCATCGTAAGGGCTCTCAGAGGCCGTCATATAGGGCCCTCAGAGGCCGTCATATAGGGGCCCTCAGAGGCCAGCGTAGCCCCCGGAGTCTCTTTGGGGCCCTGGAATCTCTGTGGGACCCTCAGTGGTCGTCATGAGGGCCCTAAGTGGCCGTTGTAGGGCCCCAGGGGACAGAGGTCGTCGTGGGAGCCCTCAGAGATCGTCATAAAAGGGCCCTCTGAGGCCGTCGTGGGGGCCCTCAGATGCCGCGTGGAGCACCAAACGCGGCTTGGGACACTTCTAGGTCGGTATGGGGGCCCCAAAGACTAGCATGGGACGCTCCTGAGTCCTGACCATAATTGGACATCCCGGATGATTCCACATCAGTGTTCGTTTCCCGATCACTGGTTTTCAGGAGAAAATGTATTGGATGGTGCGACGGGCCCCTTGTACGGATTTTGGGGGTGCAAAAAGATATGTTTGCACCCCCATGTTCTTCGATGGGGGTGCAGCTGCACCCCCTGCACCCCCTATTCCGCCGCCACTGGCTCTGACACAGTGACAGTTGCAAAAAAAGTGATTTGAGGTCGGGTCATTCGAAGTGACCTGGTAACTTGACCTTGAAAGGTAGGAGATTTAAACTTGTACACAATGTGTAAAATTGATGTGGGAATAGTCAAATTTCGCGGCTCTACACGCCGCGGTTTTTGCGCTATAAACGAAAACCTCGGGGGGGGGGGGGTATCTGCCCACCCCCTCCGTGCGCGGGTTAAGAGTCAGTCGAATGACCTTCCCGCTTCTTTACACAGTCTTTTTTCCATTTTGAATGATGCCAAGGAACGATTATAGGCCATAGAAGAGATGGTTTTATCAGATTTTGTCGCTCGGTATCCCTAATTATGTAATCACTGATGACGTCACAAATGACATCACATGACGATGACGTCCATTACATGACGTCCATTAAATGACGTCACAAAGATTAAAAGCGATATAAATGACATAAGTCTGCTGACTGCTATGCGGTGATTCGCGTTTAATATAAAAAATGGAGGTCGTCTCTTACTCAGAACCTGAACCATGTAGTAAAAAGTAGGTCATTCTTTTCTAACCACATTAGGAGGTTAAACTTTCACGATCCCGACCTCACCCAATAAATACTGGCGTAGGTTTGAAACTACGTGACTTATAGTTTCTCGCAAACAGGAAAATATCACAACTTTGAGCCACGTAATGTCATGATATTGCCACTGCCGCTCTGACTCGCTCCACAATAATCAATATTTTGGTGAATCAGGCTCTGACTCCGGGCAAACTGTAGACTCCGACCGACTCCAACTCCGCAGCCCTGATCGGCAGTGAATAAAACGGTTCATGTAAAAATGGTTAGGTAGAAGCTTGCGGGCGCAGGTCACGGCCCTGTGTTGTGAGGCGATTATTACTTGATACCCCGGAAGACGATATCTTTCTTTACCATCTGGCGTGACAGCCAACACTGCCTTTTTATGCAAGCGTGGGTGTCGATTGCTATCGAAATACCGTACCTACCCGAGCTCTCCCAATTCAATGCTGGCAACGCTTTTGGAGCCACAACAGATGGTGTGGGTCACAGTCTGACCAAGGTGACGGTGGATTTGTAATGCTTGGGCACCTGCAACTCAGCAGAAATTGACACCCATGTCTACAAGGCCTTACGCTCGTAACAGTATCAATTGCAGGTACTCACGGCGTCTGTCGCTGACTGAAGTCATTGGCAATTGTTTCGATTCCACCAGCTCTTGCCACAGCTATGTAGCATGACTCATTGCCAAAGTCGAAACCAACCACAGACATTTCTGCCAGATCAGTGCTGGTTCACCTGTTAAGGAACAGAAAAATCAGTGACAAACCTGTCATGCAAACAGAGTTATACAAGTGTAAGCTTAGTTTAGCATATTTGAGCAATCAAACTTCTTATATTTCCAAGTTGAGAAGTAAAAAACAAGCAAAGATCAGAAGACAATACTTAAAATCAACACCTGGATCAAATGTACAAATATTGGTTCTTGAAAAGCACCATCAGATTCTGGACAGGTGAGCAGGACAAATACATTCCTAATGCTCAGTCATACAAATGAGCAAGATCAAGATTTAACTAGGCAGTAGGCACCAACAAAAATCCCATGGTGACATAGGTGGAATTTTGCAACAAACTCGAATAAAAAATGAAGCTGGCACTTATTGCCAGCCGTATGGCAGAAACAATTACAGCTCAGCTGAGCTGGAGTTGCATTATCCATGTGACCATGCATTGCGCACCCAGGTACCATTTGGAGCCCAAATTTATTATGAAATATCAAGTCATGAGACATAGCCGTCAATGCGCATGTATGTGATAAGAAAAGGCAAAGAATACATGAAAGATTGACGCATAGCTATCAAAGAATGCCAGAATAAATGAAAATCGTTAATCGTTTTAAGTTGAAGTAGAACAAGAATGACAAGCACATAAGGGTGCTTGGCTGACAGCTCCTAACAGCAAGGCGATCATAGCGCACACTCCTTCCTCTTTTTCTTTAATATTGATATTCAACCATTGAGAATTGCTTAGTTTTTCACATAAGCAGCTTATACTTACTTTTAATTCCACCACAGCAACCAATCCAACTCTCACACACCACGCGGCCACCGACCACCGGCTTCGCCCATAAACGACTATCGCCTACCAGCGCCGCTCTCGTCGCAGCGCTGAGCATTCGCGTTCGGTATCTTTCCAGAAACTTCGTAAGCCGGAAAAGCCATTCACAAATGACGTCACTTTAATCGATTTAGCGATATTTCTCAGTTGATTGGTCAACTTTAAAACATTTGAGTCTATTTTTGTCAAATTTTGATTTAAGCTAAAACAAATTTTGTTTCTGATTGTTTGAACGCATATTTACGTCTGGACAACGAGTTGCGGGGAAAAGTGCTGATTGTGTTGCCGTTTTAGGAGCCGGTGATTAGGCTGGATTTTTGGGTTACTTTTTCGTTCCGATTATTGTATTTCATAGTGTTTGGCTTTTGAATATTTTAGTTATTTCAGATAAATATTACTTACCTTACAACTTTTGTAAAAACGTTTCATTTTTTATAAGCCGACGTTCAGAGTCCTAAAAATACATCAGCACTACAATCATTGTAAACAAACAAATGGAGAGCACCACTTGGCTCTGTTCCAAGGCCATTTTTTAGTTTATCTGGTGGTTTTCTTGCTCTTGTACGTCGTTTTGTTGGATGTTTTGAATCCCTTAAGATTGACTTATATCATATTTAAGAAGCATGTTGACTGAAAACAATCTGAAGTATCCAGGACAGGAGGCTGACAGAGGTCCTGGCTACTGAGTGATATCAATATCAAGTTGGACAAGTTATGAAATTTTGGTTGATAAACGCAAGTTGATCGGGCTCATATATCAGCAAGAAAAAGTAAAAATTAAAAGAGCTTATTGGCCAAAAACAAGCTATAATATTGCAGACCTTGGAGCAATACTGAAGAGCACGCTGAGCAGGATCATGCCAGAAAATGTTGACTGATGAGCGCAAATTGATGTATTGGTATGAATATTGAATGATAACTTACAACAGCAAGATAAATCATTGCTACTGGAGGAGAAATCTTGGATCACTAAATCCACTTTATGTTGATTTTGATGTTAATCATCATTACTGTATTTCTTGAAAAAAGGATTGTAGTAAAATTGTCAATGTGACAATCCATGCAACAATGTGAAATGTGTTCATAGTCATTCGTGATAGTGATTATTGGTCCAATATACAATGGCAAAGCTCTCAGTCTCAGCGTTTCTTCCTGTGGATGGCCAGCAGTGACTCAGAGCTTATGAAGTATTAGTTTTCTTCACTGGGCTGGGATAAAAAGTACTGAGGGTAATCTTCCACCAAGGAACTCTGACATGGTATGAGATGTAGGCACAAGTAGGTAGGTGCTCAGTTCCTATAGTCAGTACTCAGTAGTTGTGTATGTTTAGTCGGGTTAGCTTAGATTAGATTGTTAGTTTTTTAATTTACCAAATGTCCATAAAAATGTGACTTGAGCAATGAGCATACCTGACTAACCTGACAGCTGACCTAACCTCAATCATCACACATATTTGCAGCCTACCCAAGACCTGCATGGCAGTAGCACCCAGTTATAGGTAGGTACTCACCCTAACTCAATCTTCCCTGCTAACCTTCAACTTGCCAAAAGTTAGCTCACATTGCCAAGCTGCATCCAGGGAAACAGTCAACTGAGGAACTGGCTCATTGGGTGGCTCGTGTGAGTCTGTGCATTTAAAGTGTTTCTTCTCTGAAGCTGCTCTGCACTGCTGTATGTCATGTTAGATGCTCAGAAAATGTGGGAAATGATTACTAAGCTACTTTAGTGCTTTGTTAATGCTCGAGACATGAACAAGTACAGATCCTGCAAGGTACAGCTATGAGTTAGGTGCTAGGCTAGGTGAGTATGTTATGTGAATGTGCTGTTCCCTGTTTGACTGTAAGTATACAAACAAGCACAGGGTCACAGTTATATAATATATTCAAACTCCACATAAACATACAACAAAAACGGTCATATAGCCTAACTCCAAACACACCACAGATAACTTAAGCCTTTGCAGGCACAAAAATGTTTTAATTAACAGGACAGGTATACAATATATCCTCTGTCCTTGGGGGATCTTGCTGCCAAGTTGAGGTACAATGACTGAATTTCAGGATTGATCAACCTTTTCTTAGCCACTGCTTATATACAAGAAAGACCAAATGCTTGTTTGTTTTGATTTACAGGACATATATACAATATATCCTCTGTCCTTGGGGGATCTTGCAGCCAAGTTGAGGTACGATGACTGAACTTCAGGATTGATCAACCTTTTCTTAGCCACTGCTTATAAACGAGAAAGACCAAATACTTGTTTGTAAACTGCGTTGAAAATTTAATGATCCACCTTCAATTCTGACATGAAGGCACAGATGAAATAGTTCCCTCTCCTTTTGGAATACACAAAGCAAAATATTTAATAAGTTCTTGTGGATGGACAAGAGCAATTAGCATAGCTTTCCCTCAAGTTATCTTCTGGCCAGGGGGGTTCGCTCCCGTGTCTTCAGCATTACGAAAAATGGCAACAGCCCGTGAGCAGCATCAGCGCTCACACACATGTTCAAGGAAAACAACGTGTAATTAGCTGCTGACGACGGCCCTCCCCACCAATCAGCGCTCGGTAACTCGAGCGCTGATTGGCTGGTAGCAAACGCGTCATATGTGGGTCTCATTTTTTGCTATCAGTGAACGCGTTATTTAATACACAGTGGCCTATGGAGAATGGCACGCGGGATTGAAGGTCAGTGTTTTATTGCTTCGTACATGCGAATGGGGGTATTTGAGTGGCATTTGACACCATTTTCGAAATCTACAGTGAATTTCTGATCGACTCATGTAGATATTTTTATGAATTTGACAGTATTAGTGCTACATAGCCGGTGTTTTATGTTGGTGTTGTTTCTCTCGACCTTTGTCTTGGACTTTAATCATATCTTTTCTCGAAAATGCTTGCCATAACCCAGTCGGGCGCACTGTGGTATCTCCGATTCATTTATGGAGACGTTTCTATTATTGGAAACGTTTCCAATTTTGACTACTCTTCTGTTCCAAAAATGGAAACGCTCGTTCCATAAATAGAAACGCTAACATCTCCGCACATATTTTCTTGCCGAGGGTGGCTGGATTTGATGTATAACGACTGTTTCGCGTAAAACAAGCTCAGATACACCAAAAGCACTTGTCTTCTTGCATGGAAAGCTGTCGTATGCATTCAAATTCACGCCTTTAAAATGCTCCTGAATCGTATCCATTTATGGAGACGTAGTTTCCAAAAATGGAAACGCCGATGTTCCAAAAATAGAAACGCTGAAGTTCAAATGTGTGCAAACTTTGCTTAAATGTGTTTTTAAAATTCACATGCAACTAAAAATTTGATGTTTTGGGACTGGTTTAGCATCTCGGCTCTCGGCAGTTACCTTGGACGTCGGGTTCGATAATAATACATTATGCGCCACAACTTAAGCACATTCAAAAGTCAACTAAAACTAAGATTTCCCAGAAACTACTGGACAGATGTGGTCCAAAGTGGGCAATACATAAAGCGTAGATATCATTTCAATATATAAAATTGATATCAATGTTACACATGAGCTAGAATGAATAAATTCATCGTCAGAATACAACGATATTTGGTGTGACGACGGTGCAGACCTTATTTCCATCCTGCTTTTTACGTATTTGCACGGAGATTTACGTTGATCCGAGCCTACGATCATATTCAGCACATTTGAAATATCATAAAATGCCCACTTAAGTCTCCAAATAGGGCTTTGCAACAACTTTCATGCGATTTAATCAAAGATTGACGACCACCAGGCCGCTGGTACACCGGAAAATGCAGCGTGAAAACGAATGAAAAACTGAAGTTCCCGGTAATGTGGTTGTTCCAATCAATGGACCAGTCTTTCAGTAGTCTGTTAAAAACGTTATTTTTTGTTCAAAACATTCATCAATGTTATTAATTTCGATTAGAAAAACGTGTGAATTTTTTTATCACGTCAACATGTTATAAGCATCGCCTCGTTCGTCAACTTTCGGTTTTCTGATCGGAAAGTCGGAGAACAGGAACATAAACTAGAATGCTGGCTGTCGATTGGTGGCATCCTGTGCATGCCAAATTGCACCAATCAATGCCCAGTTTGCTTTAAAGGTAGCGATGCACACAGCGTCTCCATTTATGGAACAGACAGTTTCTATTTTTGGAAACGGCGTATCCATTTTTGGAACATTGTTCCAAAAATGGAAACGTTTCCATAAATGGATCGGAAATACCACAGTGTGCCCGACTGAACCAGGTCTAAACTGTATCTGTATAGAGGGAATATGTGTTGAATATGAGGGGAAAGTAGTAATGACCATTCTGCCTATCAAACTGCCAGAAGGTGTGCTTGTAAGGTGATTGAAACTGCAGTACGTGCTGCAGATGTGGGTTTGACATTAGCATTATTTTTGTAACCCCACTTGCTCTAATAAAATGGCAACATGGGGTTATGTACACACTATTGCACAGCCTGGTATCAAGCTGGTTGATATGTGGAGGATAATGAAAGCATAAAAGAATAGGAGCGTTGCGTCTTGTGACTTATGTCAGTTGTCATTTCAAATCAAATGATTGTGATTGTAACTTTTACTTCAATTATTATTGCAAGTTTTGACCTTTTTAATCATCAATTTTTATGTGTACCAATTTCATATGTCTGTGTAATGTCTGCAGCTTTGTGCAGTGTGCGTGTCTTGAAACAACCCAATTTATTTTGTACCTTTTTGTACTTAGGACAAAAATGTCATGCCAATTATCATTGACACTACTACAGCTAACTTTGCCTGTATTCCTATCTTTCAGAGGCATTCAATTCAATCTGCTTTCCAGTGCAGTACCAAGGAGGCTGCAACTGAAACTCGCACAAAGGCAATCAAGTGTCACTTCATCAGCCTACAGTAACAGCCCATGTGTAATCAAGATATGGATGAAGGGACATAGAAGAACAACCAGTTCAAACATGAAAAGATTGTATTTTGTTTTGGACTATTTCTTAGCATAACAGAACAGTACACTTGCTGCTTTTTATGTTTGCCCTGTGTGCAGTTTTGAATAATTTTTAACAATGAGATGCTTTTGTCAACCATTCTCTTTACATAAGCTTCCTTTGTCATGCATGTGTAATTTTGAGTTTACATGCATGATGTAGGCACATTTCCCTTGGCTTCATAAAAGTTAAAACTACTTGCAAGCTTTGGTTATGGACATTGGTGCTATATATGATGCTTCAAATGTGTCCAGTAGTTGATGAAGGGAGATGAGGAGTAGGACAGCTGATAGCTATTACCA